GTTTCCTTTAGTACACTAGACAAACGAGAGTCGCTGATCGAGGAGGAAATAAAACCGTTTCGGTGCCTTAGGTTTGTTGGTAACTTCATTAGGTCGCTTAATAAAAATAAGACAAACCTGACTATTTTCATTTGCCACGTAGCTCAAGAGAAGTGTAGTGCTAAGAATGATCCTTGTTCCTCAGTGCAAGTTTTGTATTTGCAGTCCCTATTATGAAGTTTTTTGGTGATATTTTTATGGGAAGGTGTTACTAGTGAAACGTGGTGGTTCTAGATGTAGGAGCCTCAAACTTTCTTCAGAGGCAACTGTGGAATCTTTCCAAGATTTCTGTAAAGGTTTTATGCAGAGAAGCCTTTTTTAGACATTGCAGTATAGGAGGTATGAATCTGCCTCTTTTAGCCATCTTATGCAGAATACTTGGTAATCCATATAGACTGTACTAGACCAATGGCTTCTAAACTGTAGCCTGAAGACCCTATCTTTTGCTTTAGACTTGCCTTTCTTTAGACTAGATTTGCAAAAAGTACCATATCTGTCAGTGATAATTTTTTTCTGTTGTGCTGTTCTGAAATACGGTGGCAGATCAGGCTGTTATTGCTTTTCAGTCTTTCCAGTTATTCCTCATTATTTAGTCCTAAAGCCCCCACTGTATGTGCAAATGCAGTGATTGCACTGAAAGTCGAAGTCTTTAGTCATGTGAACGACACTCATTTTAGACTCCCATTAGAGATCCTGTTGCGTTATCCACAGTTGAAAAAAGTGAACCCTAAAAGCTAGAGAGAAGTAACTCCAGATTGCAGCTAGATTTTAAGACTTTACAAGCCACTTTGTAGATGTAATTTTTTGACTGACTTTTTGTTTTGTTTTGTTTTTTGTTTTTAAGACCGAGGTTGGTAGCGTCAGTTTTCTGAGGACCCATTCAAGTAGTTGTACAGGAAAGGAACAATGTGATGTTGAGTATCCAGTAACAGGACACAGAATTTATCTTTTGCTGATGGGTTGCCAGTCTGGCTTGGGAATTAGAAGCTGTAGTTCTGTCACCTAGGAGCTCATTGTGCTGCTGCCTGAGCGAACTAACTATGACAATAATTGGAGACACTCTTGGACTATCAGGATGTTTCTCTTCAACAGCATCCCTGCTCTTAGATCTGTCTAGTCCAAAAATGGTCATAACCAGATATGATCCTTCTGTCTGGGCACTAGTTGTGGATCACCTTGCCAGGGAGTAGGGGTATGCACAGTAAACACTCTATTGGGAAAAGTATCGGCTTTGTGGGAATCTAGACGTTTGTGTGAAACTCACAAATTATTGAACCATTCCAGCCTTTTACTGAGATCAATATTAACAGGAGGCTTCTCACAAAAGAAAAAACCATGATACTGGGGAGGAGCTCTTTTTTTTCCTGTGGACAATTGGATTTTCCATACTGGTGTAACCTGTGAATGTTCTGTAGCAAATTGAGGTTAGAAGATTTTGGGAATGTGACAATGGCTTCAGTTTATAAAACAGATTTTGTGCAGACATGTGGCTTGTGTAAATGGACTTGTACTGTCCTTGTGTAATAGGAACCTGTAAAGAGTTCAAACAGTACCTGATTTTGGGTTTGGGGGTGGAGGGGGAAGTTGTTTTGGTGTGGAGGGTTTTTTTTTTTGTTTGTTTTGATTTGGGGTTTTTTTTTGTCATCGTCACTGGACTTGCTGCTCTGCCTTCATAAGTTTCGCATAAATATATTATTGGGGGAGGAATTTGTATGTGTGGTAAATCTAAAGCAGCAGCTTGTCTGGAGGCCCTGTAAACATTTCATTTATACCTCCTTTTCTTTAAAAGTGTTAAATAAATGAATTGGGGAGTAGGGAGTCAGAACCAGCTGTCTGTCATGCTTCTGTAGCAAGCTCTAATACTTAGAAAATCTTACAGCAAGATGTAATGTAGTTCTCCTAATAATTAGTGGATTTCTTTAAAAATTTTGTCTGTCTTGTCTTCTTTTCACTGTACTTAACCTCTTCCTTTGTCACCCCACTCCCCCCAAATCTCTTCTTTGGGAAAAAGACAGTTGCTACTTCTGAGACAGTCTAATTCATTATAGCAGTTTAAGAAATCCACAGAATTAAAGCAAAGGTTCTGGAAAGCGTGAAAATGACAAAACGGTTGTACATCTTACTGCTGTTAGGGAATCCTTTGGAAGTTGCTTTTCATTGTTACCTGTGAAGGCAGCTGTTCACTTCCCATTAATAGATTCTCAACACAATCTCGCAATATTGTACCTTTTCTCTCTCTTTTCAGGGATCTCCTTCCATCTGCCCTTGCAAATTCCTTTCTGGACATCAGGGCAATAGAAAATAGTCTAATATTACCTCAAGAAAAAAGGGGTTTACTATGACTGGGAAAAAAAATGGAGTTTGAAAACCCATTCTGCATTTGGACTTATAGGTAAAGGTGCCTATTTTTGTGTGCAGAATGATCCTGTGCTGCAGTGGGGAGACTGGTTGTTCACAAAGGGCAAATTTCCCGTTTGGCTGTGCAGACTTCATTGAGGCCTGCTTCCCGGTGGCCTGGGACAGCTCCCAGGGAAGGGTTCTTCCCTTCAGGTTACTTGCATTATGAAGATCCTTAGAAAAGTTCTGGTCTGGTTGTTGTTTCCCTTCTGAGGAAAAGGATGTAGATTTCTCAGATATAAACCAGTTATTCATGCTTGCAGATACAGTATCAAAAAAAGGGAAAACGCGTAGATTTGTTACTTTCTGATCGACTTGCAATTTCTGCATTAGATATTCTTGGAGTTTATAGGTGTGGTATGAGGTACCCTGTCAGGTGTCCTGTGATGACAGGTTGTATTTGATCATAAGCTCTTGTAGTAGGGATGTTGTGGAAGTCGTGCTTGTCGCTTGATGTATAGGAGTACTGTTTGGTGGTCTGGGAAGTTTTTGTTTGTATGGATCAGTCCAACATTTCAGCTGGAAGTGAAATTCCAAATTTGTCTGTTCTCTGATTTGCTTAAAAAACCCAAACAAACCCAATTACATGCTTCCCTGGGGAGTCCGTTCAAAGTTTAAGGTGGTGGGAATGAACATGTAAGACAAATTCAGCTCATGGATCCAAGGAAGGGTAACTACTTGAAAATTGAGACAGAAACAAACAAACCAACAAAACCTAAAAAACCAAGAGTGAATAAAAGGGCAGTCCAAAACCATGGAGGAGCTTCAGAAATACTGCATCAGGACTGCAGCTTAACTTCTGCAATCCACAAATAAAACCAAGTGCCGCTGTAGAGAAGTTATTGTAGAGAAAAGGTTGACATGTCAGGAAATTTAAAAAAAACCCTGACAACTTGGAAATTGCGGCAAGTCAGATGTGAATGGGAAATTCAGAGGAGTAAATAAAAAATCTGAAAGAACATACCGCTAGGAGTGCTTAAGCTGACAGTGGAGAGTTCTTAAAATACTGTAAAAGCGGGAAGTAGATGAGACCGTTGGATGTTGAAGGTGTAAAAGGAACACTTGCAAATGACAAAACCAATAGAGAGGAAACTCAGCAGATTCTTAGAATTTTACTAGCTTTGTCTGCTCTGCCTGTGCCCAGTCAAAATTGCTTGGCATCAGTGTTAATTGTGTGCTTCCAGTCACGTTTCCACAGCCTTTTTATTTGCTTTATCGAAGCTGTGTAAAGCGAGCGCTGCTTTAGGAAGAAGGGGTAAGGGATGATGGCATTGCTTCTCAGAGACTGATCTGCTTTAACTGAATTCACTAATTCTGTCCTGCTCCCTATGGGAGACGCTGAGTTCCAAAGAAGGACCGTTGACTTCAGAATGCTTTAAAACTGTGCTGCAAACCCTGAGGAACTTCTAGTCCTTGCAATACACCTGTTACATATCTAGAACTGTTCTTACTTTTCTATGCAAATATCCTGCTGTTTAAAACCTCATCTAGATCTGGCTTCCTCAAATGTTTTCCCTGAGGAATTGAATTTTTTTTCCCTTAGTTTTAAAAATCTAGGCTGATGTGCTACTTAGAACCTCACTAAACAATCCATTAACTATGCTGGGTGCAGAGTTGTTTGTCTTGCAGTTTTTTTGACAGAGATTGTTGCACTAGGTCTCTTTAATGGATGACTTGAAACCTTAAAAAAAAAAGTTAACCAAGTGTTATATAGCAAACATCTTTCTTTCTGCGGTCCTGGTGTTTGTTTGACCACCCTATTTTTGTAGTAACTTTTGTAATACATGGTTGAGTTGCTTTAGAGCAGATTTTGCTGTTGAAATGGACTGATTTTGCTAACAGGCTGCTTTACTGTGAGTTACGTGCTAGTTCTATTTGTTCAGGGAAGGGCTAAAATCCCAACGGGGCTTTTTGAGTACTAGCAATGAGTATGGTTTTTCATCACTTCAGCTAAACAGCTTACCATTGAAAGCTTTCATCGTTTCCTTAGGGCACTTGAAAGGAGAGAGTCAGCAAACATAAGTCAGTTGTTAGTAGACAGCAAACTACCTAGCTATTTGGGTGTCTAAAACTGAGATGTTATTTTTGTACGCTTTTGTTGTAGTTCAGGAACAGCCTGTTTATATTGTGTCATAACACTTGACACCAGACTAAATGCAAAGTTTCCTTTAGGAATTTCTAAGACTGGAAAGGAACAGTTCTTAAAAGCTTGCAGTTGCTTAATTAATACGGTGGCTTTATACCAGATATGAATTGACTAATATAGCAGAATTTGAAAATACTGTTAGGCTTGCAAAGAAGAAAGAGAAACCTGGATGTCTGTGTCTTTAGGCAGTAGCGTTATTTAGACTTGTGAAAATGTTTAACAGTGTTCAGTTGCTTGGTTCTGGTCGAGGGTAGGTTATTTCCTTAGCTGATGCAGGAAGCTGTCTGTTTACCAAAAGAAAAAACTATACACTTCAGAATGGGCAAACATATTTGTAAGATTCAAGTCACGGAACTTTTACCAATCTCTTCTAGTAAGATAAAGTCGAGACTATTATTTGTGTTCTTTTAACAGGTGGTGTTTCACAAAATGTCTCCCAATGAGACTCTGTTCTTGGAAAGTACCAACAAGATCTACAAAGATGATATTTCCAACAGTTCATTTGTGAATTTCCAAATATGGGATTTTCCCGGACAGATGGACTTTTTTGATCCAACATTTGATTATGAGATGATCTTCAGAGGAACAGGTGCTCTAATATATGTTATTGATGCCCAGGTAAATACAAATCACTAAGTATCACAAGGAAGTGTGGTTTCAGGTGGGTTTTTTTTGTTGTGTGTGAGAGGAATGATCAAGAAGCCAATAATTTATCTTTTTAGATAAGCTCGTAAAACATCTCTTATGTATGAAAGGGTGTGTTGGCAATCTAACTTTTAGTGTGTGGTTTTTAGTTTTGTGAAGTGCCTGGAACATACGCTCCCACTGGAGAGAGTGGAAAGGGGCGAGTACTCTGAATTTACCTTTTCTACAATAATAGTGAGAACCTGCTGTGCTAGAAAGTCTGAATTATCCCTTCCCTCTGATGTTGACTGCTATGGAGTTTGTTTAATAACAGCACACTTCTGACCTCAGTTTCAAGTACAGGTACTGTTGGGTATCTGTTAGCTTCTAATGGCCTTAAGAATTGCACTGTGGGAGCTCACGTGCTTAGCAGGACTGTCTTGGAGATTGCTGCAACCTTTTGCTGGAGTTGAAGTGTAACCTGCCTTTCGCTCTGAAGCCTAGTTTTGTGTAGCTGAGCCTTGTATAGCTAATGCAACTTAATTTACTGGACAGAATCTAAGCTACTTGGATTTCTGACACTCCGAGGTATTCCCTTCTCCCATACTTCTGTTTAGTTATGGAGGTGAAGTTCTTGCACTGAAACATTTTGTCCTTGTGCAGAATGGAATAGTTATTGGAGATAATGCCTTGTCATTCATTCCTGACAAAACTGATTTACAGGATGACTACATGGAAGCTTTAACAAGACTCCACATTACAGTTTCAAAAGCCTACAAGGTCAACCCGGAAATGAACTTTGAAGTTTTTATTCATAAAGTTGACGGTTTATCAGATGACCATAAAATAGAAACTCAGAGGGATATTCATCAGAGGGCTAATGATGACCTTACAGATGCTGGGCTTGAAAAACTTCACCTTAGGTGAGTTAAAGATTCTGGCACATGCGATTCTACTGTTGCTGACTTGCATAGAGACTAAGGGCTTTTAGCTGTAATAGTGGATGGACCGGAGCAAGGCCTTGTTAATTTCTTAATCATAGAATGTTTTGGGTTGGAAAGGACCTTAAAGATCATCAAGTTCCAACGCCCCTGCTATGGGCAGGGACACCCTCCACTTGCCCAGGTTGCTCAAAGCCTCATCCAGCCTGGCCTTGAACCCCTCCAGGGATGGGGCATCCACAGCTTCCCTGGGTAACCTGTTCCAGTGTCTCATGACCCTCACAGTGAAAAACTTCTTCCTAATGTCTAGTCTAAATCTACCCTCTTTCAGCTTATACCCGTTACTCCTTGTCCTATCACTACACTCCCTGATAAAGACTGCCTCCCCATCTCTCCTGTAGGCCCCTTTCAGGTACTTGGAGGCTGCTATTAAGTCCCCTTGGAGCCTTCTCTAGGCTGAACAGTCCCAATTTTGCACAAACCCTTGGTATGAGATACACCGCTGAATTTATGTCCAAGCCTCATCTCTTAGGCTGACTAGAATAAAGTGGCTACTCTATCAGATTCCAATCAACAGATTTATTAATAAACTGGCTGATAATTCAAGGTTCTTTTGCATACTTTTCTTTTAGCATAACAGGTCGAATTTGTACATGTGGTCTGGAGGGGCAGGGACAGGGGAAGGAGAGCGGAAGCTGCCTGTCTTCTAGTGCTAGCTAGCACTGACTTTTCAGTGTGATTAGTTTTAAAAGCTTAGTCTCTTGATGTTTGGCTTGCTTTTAAGGTGTCTTCTGCCAACACCTTTAAAATGAGCTCTCTTTTCCCTGTTTTTACTGCTATTTTGATTCTCCTGGAGCCTTTTATGTATTGCCAGTATCTCTCAGTGTTAGTGTGAACAAAGGGGAAGGCCAGGAATGGGACCTGAAGAAATCTGGTTAGGTATTTAATGCCTTTGTGATAAGCATTCTGTAGGGCTAAGTGTGTTGTGAAAGTATGTTCAAATTTTTTTGTCTGTTCTTTTGGGGATAGAGGAAGTCTGTTTCATGTTTAGTCACTCAGAAATTAAGTTTTTGTGCAGCAGCCAGGTATATTTGTGGTAAAGGCATCCCAGCTAAATCATCAGGCCTGAATGTTAGACAACATAGCTTTAACATTTCTATTGCAATCCTGAAATACTATTGAATTTTTGTTCTTTTTTTTTCCTTTTCCCTCCCTCCTCATCTCAGCTTTTATTTGACCAGTATCTATGACCATTCAATATTTGAAGCCTTCAGTAAAGTGGTACAGAAGCTTATTCCCCAACTGCCAACACTGGAGAATCTACTAAATATCTTTATATCAGTAAGTGTTAATCTAACAGAACTTTGAGTGAAATATGCAGAATGGTAAAGCAAATCCTTCTGCTAAGGAGTGCTGCCTAGATCTGCCCTTGGTGGATTCAGGTGGCACTCATGGTGCACTCTGCTGGCCTGGTTGTCTGCGTTAGAAGCTCTTTACCACAGCTGAATTGTACTGGTGCATGCTTTGTGTGTGTTTCTCTAAATACTGACAAAGTGTAGTTTGGCTTGTTAGAAGTGTTGATACAAAAGTTTTTTGCCAGCACGATATACTGATTAGTCTGCTACAGCACTTAGTAGTCTAATGTAGCTGTACTGGGAAGAGACTTTTTTTATAATGTGAACTTGACCTAAACAGTCTATTTCATGTGGCCTGTGAGACTTTTGCCCTTATTCTTTTGGTGTTTGCATTTCTTACAGAGTTTGTGACATAGAAATTTGCTGCTCTATACTTTAAGTCAAATAAAATATCACCTTAGAGACAAGGCTGAAGTAGCCTGTCTTATTTAAGTTTTGTCTGTAAGGATGTGGACAACGTGGAAAAGACCAGTTGTGATTGAGAGGAGCTGTGTGGGTCAGATGTGTCTCCCCATGCTGCCATATAATGCTTGTTTCCCATGTTGGTAGAGGACTCTCTGTATAACCTGTCCCAGTGGATAAAGGACATGTTAATGGTCACCCTGCTCAGTGCCATGAGGGGGTGAAGTGTGGCCCCGATGCCAAAAGGATCGTCTGGATGTGCTCAGGACACTGCCTTGGGTATTGAGACTAGCTAGGAAGAAGTGATAAGGAATGCTTCTGATGCATAAATAGAAATTAAGCTTTGCCAGAAATCCGTAGTATATATGTGGTAACTTGCTTAACAGCAGAAGGCCTCTGAACTTAGTATGAGCACGTGCACTCTGACAAAGTGCTCACTTAAAGTGGGATGGTACAATTGGCTTGGTGCTTTTCCATGCCCATAACTGCCATAATGTAATACTTTTCATGGAGTCATAAGTTTAGAAGCTGACTTTATTTGTGCTGCATGTTAAACTACACGGCAACTGCCTCACACAGAAACTGAACTGCCAAGATACACTACAAGCATAAAATGTCAGTGTCAGCATACTACTATAAAGTAACTCGTCTCTGAGCCAGGTCCATCTGGTGCATGTGAATGTGTGGCTCTTCTGGAGTTAATAGAACCACAGAAGAGGAAAACTGCTGAATTTGGGTTCTGGAAGCATAGGAAAATGTTACCTTAATTATGATCTGGTAAATAATAACCTAAAAGAATTCTGAGTCCCCAGCTTCATTTTCATCAACTAGAAGGGGATGTTGATATGTACTATGGCAACAAGGGTATTGTATTTATAAACTATATGCTCTAAATCTTAATTCTGTCTTAAGCCTCTAAATTGCTTATGTTTAAACCATTTCCTGCTATTAAGAACGTGAAAGTGTATGCATTCTACTTGAGATTTTTAAAATGCAGTTATTTAAAAAATTCATTCTGTTTTTTTTGTCTTTCTGAAGAATTCAGGCATTGAAAAAGCTTTTCTCTTCGATGTAGTCAGCAAAATCTACATCGCAACAGACAGTTCCCCTGTGGACATGCAGTCATATGAGTTGTGCTGTGACATGATTGATGTAGTGATAGATGTTTCCTGTATATATGGGTAAGTGATGAATACTCTTAGGAAACAAGTCCTTAAAAGTTGTAGAATAGGTTGCAAACTGTGCAAGTGGTGCTGGCTTTGTCATCCAGCAAGATGCTATCGATTGGTCTGTAAAGCACATTGGTTCTGTAAGTAACTAGAATAAAGCCAAATGATTTGGCAGCTGGATTGAGCATTTGCACTCAGTTTGTTTCTCTCCACTCATGGCCTTAGACAGCCGTCTGACATTTGTAAAATCAAGTGTTTCATGTAAAATGTGAATGCTGCTGTGTCTCATTTGTCATGGTGGGTGCAATTATGTTAATACCTCCAAATAACTGGGGTCAATAGCATGCCATAGCTTGTAAGTGTAACTTGCAGTCACATTGCTTTGAGACTTGCTGCTATCTGAACGGAATAGCTTTTGCAAGGTCAACTCGGCTCTTGCTGACTTTCTCTGAGGGATGCATGTAGTGCTTGTTTCTCACAATTTACGGCTGAATTATACTTCACAATGGAGTTTTGAAGTGGCTCTGGAGAAGTGGTAACTTATTTTGGAACTGTGGTTGTAGCCTGGAAAATACAGTGCTGCCAAGAAAGACCGCAACGTTTAGTGGTCTGTCTCCTGATGGGTTAACCTGGGGTTGCGTAACTGTTTCTTTTGGTTGTTTTTTCATGAATGAGAGCTTAGAAGTAGCCTGCCATCCATCTTTTGCTTCTACAGTAATTTAACTAACAGTAATAACTTGCAGATAGAAAGCTGCATCCCAATCTTTTCTTGTAAATGCAGACTTGTTTAGCTTAAGACCAAAAAGTGTCCTGCTCCCTGTTGAGACTCCCCCGGCCCCTGCCCTGGCCCTACTGAGGCAGCCTTTGTATTAATTTACCAAAAGTAATTTCACTGAGATGTCACTGCATTGATGTTTCTATGTAGAAGCCCTGCATTAGAATCTTCAAACCAATCGCTTGATACCTTACTGTGGCACTGTAAACTCGGTGAGACAGCGAGTAAGCAGTGACTTGGGTATAACTAACATACTATAGTACCTCCTATAGTAACTCCTGTAAGTTGAAAACAGGCACAGCTTAGTCTGATATCAAAAGAATGCATGCTGATAGATTGCTCTTAAATGCTCACCTAAGATAGACAGTATTGAAGGCCTCTACTCTATTTAGGTCTAGGTGTCCTGGGAAACCTAAGGTGTGATAATGGTCTTATGACAGTGTTAAGACCTGCATTGCGGGTTCTTCACTTGCTCACCATTCTGTGTGAGTAATATTCTTCTATCTAAAGAGCATTTAACAGGCATGCATACGTAGCTTCAAGATAAATACCTACTAGATCATGTCTTAGGTTAACTGTTCTTTCTTAGGTTAAAGGAAGATGGCACTGGAAGTGCTTATGATAAAGAGTCAATGGCAATTATCAAGCTCAATAACACAACAGTCCTGTACTTAAAGGAAGTAACGAAGTTTCTGGCATTAGTTTGCATTCTTAGAGAAGAGAGTTTTGAGCGCAAAGGTAAGGACTTCCCCTCATCGAATGATTTGTATCTAATGTTTTTTAACAACTATAAAATATTAATGTGACTTTACAAGTCACCTTGATTTTTATGTAACTAAACCTGTTTAATTTTTTCTGGGAGGAATCTTCTCCTTGCCTAGACATAGGTATAAAGAAGTTTTATTTTTGTTCTTGTGAATCATTGCTTTAATTGCTGTCCTCCTGCTGAAGTAGCTAATGGCCTGTGTCACTATCCATCTGCTGTAATGGAATCAGTAGAATGGAGTAATGCTCGTTATATTCTGCTTGGCAGTGGCTGTATTGTGAACAGCCATACTCTCTATCAAGTGTTGCACTGATGTAATTTTTTTAACATATGACTGAAGAAATCAACAGTGGTAGGCTAGTACAGTGTGTGGTAGGAACTTAAACAAACAAAGTGTTTAATACACTGCAGGTCTAACCAACTATACAGTTACTTGGACCTGTAGGAGATGATGGTACTTGCATGTGTTATGGGCTAGAAATGACAGTGTAGGCCCTAATTTCAAACTATTTGACCTAAGTGGTGGCAGTACTTACCTTGGCATTTTAAAAAGAGAAAACGCAGATGTGTTCTTTTAAGAACTGTACTGTATTTGATCTCAAAGTTTTACTTACCACAGTTAGGATATATATCAATGACATAAAGTGCAAGGTAACATTCAAGTGATGGTTGTGCTGTACTAGTGTGTTTTTTGGGGGGTACAATCTTGTGTTGTCCCCTCACCTGCTGTTTAATTCCAAATGAGTACGCTTTTTTTCTAAAAATACTGGCATCACTAAAACTTTATTAAATCTTCTGAATCCAAATTCATGCTAAAGTAAATAGCAAAATAACTGATGGCTAAATGAAACATTTTGTATTTATTTTGAAGATCTGTTTATTACGTTAATGTCCCAAGCTGAGCACAAGGTTTTCCTCTCTCGTCCCCTTTCTTCTTGACAGGTCTGATAGACTACAATTTTCATTGCTTCCGCAAAGCCATTCATGAAGTCTTTGAAGTAGGTGTTGCCTCCCACAGAATCTGCAACCATCAATCAAGCGCCTCAAATATGAAAGCAGTGACTCACAATGGCACACCTAGGAATGCGGTCTAGAGGAAAACTAAAGACGTTGGATAGACTTGTCAGCTCTCCACTCCAAAGTTTTGTGGAACAAGAGAAGAGTAGTCTGAAAGCCTGAAGCATGTTTCATGGGAGAAGAGTGGTGCTAACTGTGAAACAGCAGCTTGTAACTCATGTTGGACAACTGAAACTACTGTAAAAATACTTGGAGGCCAGTGAAGTTAGATGCTGGTTTGAAACCAGCTTCATTGCAAGTGCAGTGGTTTTTCAGTTTGGAGTCGTATTTTAACAGTCTGTCTCTGACTGATTGCCCGGTCAAAATTTACAGATGATTGAGTTGAGTTTTGCATGAAACACTGAAAAGTCACTTGTTCAACTTTTTTTTTTTTTTTAATTAATCTGTAGAATATCCACTTTTGCTTAAGTTTAGCCTTTTGTCATGCAAAAAAAAAAAAAGGTGGTGTTATTATTTAGGCTTGTGAAAACCAGGCTTTTTGTTTGGTGAGGCTCATCTCACAAGTCATTCCATAAAGTAGTTCTTGCTCTTGTCGGTGTGCTCAGAGTATTCTCGTCAATTCTGGTCATGTTAAGTGGATACAGGTAGAGCTCTGTTCTAGTGATTCTATGTTTGTTGGGAGAGCTGACCTGGAGCTTCATTTTAAGAGATTGTGATACTTTGCTTTCAGACCATGCTTCTTGGTATGCCCCCTTTGATGGAAGAGAAGTATTAAAACCAGAAATAAACTACCTGCTCTCTTTTGCAAAAACACAGATGTCATAAATCTCTATGTTTAATCCTGTTCACAAAACAGCTGCATGGCTAATTAAACTGAACTGTCTGCCATCAGTTGGAATAAAGCAACCACTTTTGGCTACTCTCAAGTGAAGAAATGACAAAGTTACTGACTTTTGGTGGTGGATCTCTCTCTGCCCTCTGACTGGTAATCAAGACTATTCCCAGGAAAATGTCTGAGGGTGTTATCCTTACATGGCAATTAAATATCAGTGTGACACAACGTACTAATAATACTGGACATTGAAAACGTGGTGATTCTACACTGTGGCAAACATGTCCTTGTTTGTTGCCATGCAATCTGAATAGAATAGGGTTTTTTCTGACTGTGTGAACTCCAGCTTTCATACTATGGGAGGTATATCTGAATTGTTTTAATCTAATTTATTGGCATTGGTATTATTACTGCAGATGTCATACTGTACATCAGCCTTGCTATGCAGTAAGCTCAGCTACTGGCCTATAAAGATCTTGCCTCTTTTTACCTGTCCCTATGTGTCTATAGATGTTGCGAAGCCACTGGATCAACTGACTATACAAATGCCACTATAAAAGTTTCTGCGAGAAGATGTGTAACTGTAAGCAATCTCTGCAATTTATATATTTATGTGGTCAGAAATAACCACAGGATTGCTTCTGTGCTTATAGAATGGATTTTCATTGAACTATGTAAAAATGAATATACAGGCATTAACATAAGGGTGTATGCACATACTGTATAAATGTTTTTCCTTTGTTTTAAAGGTGTTTTATGATACTAAATACATAAAGGATCTGCTCCAAAAGTTACCAGTCAGCAGGAGACTTGGTAATTCAAATCCTCTATTTCAGTTCTCTGAGCCCCTTTTTGGTAATGGAACTGCAGGTGTTTTGTAAGGAAGTGCTGTGGGCTTGTAAGATTGGGTTTTGTACCTTGCAAGCTCCATCACAGTCTTCTGGTACTCAAGGTGAGAGAAGTAATTGGCAAGATCACAGAAAGGAGGAAAACATTCCCATTTGTGCAGTGAGTTTTCCATGTTCTAAGTACATATGTACATTCCTCTCTTTGTCTTCACTCTCTACCTGATTTGTGCTAATAAAATTAAAAAAGGTCAAACTGTAACACTATTGTTTCTCTTGGAGGGTAAGACACCTCAACAAAAGTCTATAAATGCCCGTATGGTTAAGCAAGTTTTAAAAATCCATGTAATCCTCACAGTATTTTTAAAAAAGTTAAATACCACTTTCCCATGTGAGGTTTTAAAAATTTTAGTCAGCCTTAGCTTTGCTCTCTCAAAAGGTGACTCCAAACTGAATACTCAGTTTTCAGAAGATGACTCTAGACTTTAAAGGCATATAAATGATGATGTGACTTGTTATCTTCTGATTAATCACAGAATGGTTTGGGTTGAAAGGGGCCTTAAAAATCATCAATTTCCAACCCCCCTGCCACGGGCAGGGACACCCTCCACTAGCCCAGGTTGCCCAAAGTCTCATCCAGCCTGGCGTTGAACCCCTCCAGGGATGGGGCATCCACAGCTTCTCTGGTCAGCCTGGGCCACTGCCTCACCCCCCGCACAGGAAAACATTTCTTCCTCACATCTCATCTCAATCTCCCCTCTTCCAGCTTCAAACCATTCCCCCTCATCCTGTCCCTGCACCCCCTGATCCAGAGCCCCCCATCTCTCCTGTAGCCTCCTTTCAGCACTGGAAGGTGCTGGAAGGTCTCCCTGGAGCCTTCTCTTCTCCAGGCTGAACACCCCCAACTCTCTCAGCCTGTCCTCGCCCGGGAGCTGCTCCAGCCTCGGATCATCTCTGTGCCCTCCTCTGGCCCATCTCCGTGGCTCCTCTGGCCCCGCTCCAGCAGCTCCGTGTCTGTCCTGTGCTGAGGACCCCAGAGCTGGAGGCAGCACTGCAGGGGAGGGGTGTCTCACCAGAGCGGGGCAGAGGGGAAGCATCCCCTCCCTCAACCTGCTGGTCACGCTGCTGGTGATGCAGACCAGGACACAGCTGGCTTTCTGGGCTCCAAGAGTGTGTTGCCTTCTCATCAACCAGCACCCACAGGCCCTTCTCCTCAGGGCTGCGCTCAATCCATTCTCTCCCCAGAGAGAATGGTGAGCCTTAGGCTGCATTCTGAAATGCTGCCTTGAGAAATTCTGCCTTGTGGTAGTTTTTAGGGGTAGTTTTTTGTCAGTATTACCTTACTCTTGAGTGGTTGCATCTACTAAAGGTTAATGATAGGATTGCAAAACAGAATACTGATTATTTTCACTATTACCTGACCAATATTAGCTTTAAATTTGTCCCTAGTAAGGAGCATGATATTTCTTTAGTTTACTAGAACTAGTCTTAATGTCCTTCCTAACAACCAAATTAAGTCAGATGCTGCTATTCAAGTAAAGTCTTACTTAGCCTACTGCCGCTTCAGTGAGGCAGTTTTCAGTTTCTGCTGAAACCTTTATGCTGCCAGGGAGGGAAGGGGAAGGATAAGGATTGTGCTTTATTTTCTCCCTTGTGCAAGGACCTGTCTCCACCTCCTGTGCTGACCTGCTGCAGGGAGACACCCTGTTAGAGATAAGGGAATGCAATATCACAGGCTCTCTATCAAAGGACTGAAATTGTAAAGGAGACCATCATCTACTGCTTCACCTTTCTGCCTTTTTTCTCCGAACCTGTAGTGACACAGATGCTCTGGAGTCTTTTTTGCAAACAACTGAGGCCTTGTACTTCCAAGGAGAAAAAAAGGTGTGCACAGGGGAGGGCATGTGGGAAAAGGTAACTAGCCTGCAGGGAGAGAAAATAAAATCTCTTTCTGCTGAAGACTAAGGCAATTCCCTGCAAGATACCTTTCAAAGCCTTGAAGTGTCTGGCACCAGGCGGTGGCTAATTTTCCATCTCAGTTTCCAGTTGCCAGCTGCGGGGAAGGAGGGAAAGGCCAAACCTGTGGAGAGGAGGCAGAGCAGTAACAGATGGTGCTTATGTGCTGTCCCGAAGATTTAAATCCGCCTCTCGTTCCGGTGGAAGAGCAAGCAGTTTTCCCGTCCTTCCTCTCAGACCTCCCACAAGCCACGCGTGACGGAGTCACTCACTCCGCATCCCAAGGACCGCGGGGTCGGGCCCTCGTGCAGCAGCAAGAGGAGCGCGGGGAGACCCTCGTCGCGTGGCGGCCTGCGGCGAACGGTGCTCGCACTCGCGCTGCGGTGCCAACGGCGGGTGCTGCTAG